CAAGAAAAAAAAAAAAAAAGGAAAAAAAGAGGCAAGAAAAATTTGGGGCCTCCGCAGTTTTTGCGAGAGGCAGGCAGCTGATGCCTGCAGGTGAGTCTGACGACCCGCACATTGGAAACAACCAAATTATTTTAAGAAAGATCTTCAAGACATGGAGATGATATTCATTGATGAACAAGTGATTATTTTATTTTAATACGTCAAATATGATTGTTAGGAAAATATATTTTTCACATTTGTTTTTTAATTACGCAGGGTGATACGGTGCAAGCTTCCATTAAGTATACACTGTTATACAGATTTGGTCTAAGATCAAAGTGAACAAATGTTATGTAATGTCAAACCTATCTGCTTTTTTTTAGTGTCAAGACCTACAAGCATGCCTTGAATGACTATAGAGTCACTTTTGAATATACATCTACTGTGAGAGAAGTTGACGTTCCGTCCATTCCAATGTATTCATCTAAGTTCACACCTTACGCAGATATACAACAAGCGTCAAACAACAATGAGTATACGATAGGTATTAAATTTTTCCATTGATGTTTTTCTTAATATTTAGCATTTATTTACTGGATGTATTCTTACAATTTTTTAACATTAATTGCAGATGTTATTGGTTCGCTTTTGTCGATAAGTTCAGTGAATCACCTATCGGGTGGAACAAAACAAAACATTCCATTTGAACTTGAAGATATTGAGTATTTTCAAAAATCACTAAAATATATTTTTTTTGGATTTTAAACATTTATGTTTTCATGTGTTTTACATATCAATTATCATTTTATTTGTTATGCAAGTGGTTCGAAGGTTAACTGTTTGTTATGGGGAAAGTTTGCTGAATACATACTTCAACGAATTCAAGATATTGGTGTAGAGCCGTATATTGTTGTAATACAATTTGCAACGACTGAGATAAAGAATGATATTAGTTTGTTCAATAATTTATTTTATGCATCATGTATAAATAATGTTAGGGTCATTTATTACATTTCACTATTATTGTTATGTTTTCGTAGGTGAAGTTCAGGTATCTAACCATTGGCATTCATCACGCGTGCTTATAAATGAGGATATACCTGCAATTAATGAGTTCAAATCGAGGTTACAATTGTATATTTAAAATTTTAAATGCATGAATTATGTTTTTTTAAAATTTATTTTTTCGTTACGATTTATTTGCATGTAACTTTTCATTTTAGTCTCATTCGGAGTAAACCAAATAGTGGTCAAGTGATAAGTCAAAAATCGTCGCAGTCTTCTTACTCGATGGAAGATGATTTCATACGTAAGACTGTCAGAAAAATTTTGGACGAACTGAGTGACACAAATGAGGTAATAACGATGTATTTGCTACATTATTTATTCGTACATTTTCAGTAAAATACTAATAGGAATCATTTATCAAAATTGATTATAACTATACTTAACTGATGTTTATTTTCACATTTTAGCCTGGCAAATATGTTGTATTGGCCACTATTAAGGGTCTTGTGAAAACATCAAAGTGGTGGTACAATGGTTGCATTAAGTGTAATAGATCTGCTAGACAAGATTCAAAAATGTGGTATTGTCACGTTTGCATAGCTCATTGGCCTACTGCTAAGCCAACGTATGTACTATTTTTTTTCTTCTATGGGTTAATTATATTACTATTCTACAAATACTTTTCATTCACATTTTGTTATTCACTTTAGTTATAAAGTTGAAGTCATTGTCATGGACGATACAAATTCAGCTTCGATGATTGTATTTGGGAAAAAAGCTGAAAGGTTGCTAGATATTCATGTAGAAGTATTAATTCAAACGGTCCAAAACAGGGTACATTGATCAACCACTCATCCTTTTTTTTTATCTAAAATATATATTTTTTTAGAGTAATCAATTAATTTTGTATTTTTATCATTTATTTATTTTTAATGCTATGAAGGGAGAAGAACCTGTGGAGTATCCTATGGAACTTGAGGGGTTAATTGATCGAAGAATGTTATTCAAAATTGCTATCAAGGCTGATAATGTTGTCAATGAAGATCATAAAACGTATAATGTTCAAAAAGTTTGCAGAGATGATGCTATCATTGCTTCATTTTTGAAGCATTACGAAATGGATGCGGTATTGATAATTAACTTTAATATAATTCTTTCTTTTTATTTTAATACGTGGTTTTGAATGTGTATGTATCTTATAATATTGCATAAACATGATAATGGTTCATCGTCGCTGAGTGTCAATTATGACAACGATGGGTGTGTCTTCTCATCAAATGTTGACAATTTATTTTTGATTAATTGTTCATATGTTGCACGTAAGAGATGTTTCACAAATATACAAATATTTTACGTAATTCTTTGCTAATTTATAGGACTTTGGAACATGTTTTAATTTTAACGATGGCGTTGTGGATGGTGATATCACAACTAATGCTATTATGGATGATGATGTCAACACTATTACTCCAATGAAGCGATCCAACGATTGTATTTTGGATAGTATTCTCAATGATCCTACCGTCCAGCAATCATCCACCAAATTATTGAAAAAGATCAAACAAGTGAAAATAGAGTAATGTATTATTTAAATTTATTCGTCATTTTTTGTTATTCATTTCGATTTTCTTTGGTATTTTGTATTTAGAGACACAGTATGTTTTTCTATTTTGAGACAATGTCCTTAATACTTTTGCATGAAGCTTATTTCAATAAAGTTACTTATGTTTTTTAATGCGGCAAACATATTTATTCATTTATGCCAAAATGAATTATGCATATTAATAAAATTGTTTATATATTTGAACATTAATTGCGTTACAAAGATTATACAAAGATTATACATTGACATACAAAAGAGAGTACCCATATAGATAACATTGTTATTTTTACATAAATATTTGTATTTATAAATATAATAATCTATATTATATTCTACGATCTACGTAATATATTTTATGAAACATTTACGTATGAATCAGATTAATCACCCATGTGTTAATATATTTTCAAATAAATTGATAAATTAATACCGGTTGAAATACTTTTTATAATTGCATGTATTAAATTAACAATAATAAATTATTATAACATGTTTAGTAACCAACTTATTCACACGTAAATGCCTCTTTCAATATGAAAATTAAATATTTTACATTCTACTAAAACCTATTAATATTTATGTTTTTTAATCTCGCGTTGTGTTTATGGTAATAGGATCCGATATTTTCAATAAAATATACATTATTTAAGGTAAATATATGAATCATCTATATAAGATTTTTAGTCTTTTTTCTATTAACTTTGACATTAATTATGAAATCCGTGGACTGTAATAATTAAATATTGATACGAATATAGTGTGTGTATTTTCTAACTTTATTTTAAATACTCATATATTTTGAAATATTTTGATTATAGAAAGAGTATTAATTCATGCAATGTTAACTTAAATCAATTATATTTTTAAAATATCACCATATATCATTTATTCCTAGATTAAAGCTCATTTTAAAATTTGAATTTTTATTTTTAATCTACTTTCCAAATTATGCGTATATTCCAAACTATATAATCTACCTAACCCAATGTTATTTTTAATAATCAAGCCACATTCTTCAAATTATTGTACGTAAATATTTTCACTTAAGAATTATTGATTTTATATTTTTTAATTGTTCTTTCACCCCACATTTATATACGCACAATACTGTACGGATTTTATTACCCCCTTCCCTCCCCCATTTTTTAAATCTTTCAATCCCGAATCCAAATTCGTTCGAGGTGAAAATGGAAGTTCAACTAACATTATGCGTACTTTGCAACAACCATTTTGATCGCAATTTGGATCCATGTATGTGTATTTCATGCAGAGAATCTATCAAAGTCGAACTGCGCACGGGGCCATGTTTTATATGTGGTGTAGTTGAAACAGAAGATTACAAAACCTTTTTCAATTGTGGGTTATGTGAATGTGTGTTTACACATTATATGTGTATACCGCCGAATGAACGTCGGCACTCTGACTCTGTATGGAGGTGTGGTCAATGCGATTGGTCTTTCAACATGGCGATGTATCAACTATTTTCTAATGAAAATGAATTTCTTTTTGATGACGAAGTAAATAACATTAATGCCTCACTCATCTACTTTGAGAGGAAGTTTACGTTCAAAGAACTCCACAAGAAGGTAATATCATTTCTTAATGTGAAATTTTCATTGAATGTTATCATAAACTTATCATTATATTTATTCTAATTTTTTTCATTTGCATACGTTATAGTATATACGCAAATCTTTTGCTAAGAATCATGGGTTGATTGGCAAAAACTACATCGATGTTGAGTTTCTCGGTGGTACAACGAGAAATATTAGAGTACGTACAACAAGAAGACGTAAAAAACCTAATGTCTACCTCACTATTGGTTGGAAATCGTTTTGTTCTTCCAACAACATGGTTATTGGCAATACATATTCGTTTGTGTTTGACACTACAAGAAATGTAATTATTGTTGCGAATGTCGATTAGATTATTATGTTTTATATTTAAATTGTATTATCAATAAATTAATTACTTATTCAAAAATATTCAGTACAAATATTTTTACCACTTCCCTTGATTAATCAATGATACATACATAAATTTTCTTATTTAACCCACTTTAGTATTTTTTATATGTATTCAATTCATGTAATTATGCCACATTCCTAGCTTTAAGATCTTATCGCTACAATTTAATATGCCACATTCCT